GGAGCGGCTCTCGCTGAGGGAGAGACGGGAGGGGAAAATCCTCAAGGAATCAAAGAGGGMTAACGGGTTGGCAGGGACCTTGCAGATCATCTAGTCCCAGCCATCTCTGCCAAGGGCAGAGACACGTCCCATTAGACCAGGCTGCTGAGTGCCCCATCCAACCTGGCYTTGAACACTGCCAAGGATAGGGCGTCCACAACSTCCCTGGGCAACCTGCTCCTCACAAGCATAACAGTAAAGATTTTCTTCCTAATRTCTAACCTAAATCTCCCCTATTTCAATTTGTGCCCATTACTCCTTGTCCTACCCTCCTGCCGTTCCTGACGATGAGTCCCCCTTTGGTTTCCCTGCAGGCCCCCTTCAGGTACTGTGTTTTGGGTTTGCTGAACCTGTTTTTTTTTGGGGGGGGGGAAGGCTATACAAGGGTGGCTTCTTCGAACAGCTGCCAGAAGTTTCCTCCATGTCCAGCACAGCCAACCYCTGGTAGCTCTAAAGGTGGACATGCTRCTGGCCAAGGCTGGGCCAATTAGAAATGGTGGTAACACCTCTGTGATAATATATTTAAGAAGAAAAAAATGRAAAGTTGTTGTTTTACCTAGAGTGRTAATTACAGCCAGAGAAGAGCGAAGTGAGTTGAGTTTTCACCATTCATCATGCCTAAGTCTTTCTCAACAGGGCTGCTCTCAATCATTTCTACACCCAAGCAGCAGCTGTGACACAGCCCAGGAGTAGGACCTTGCACTGCACTTTCATTCTTGTAGCTTGTAGCTTCCAAGCTGTRGGCAAGAACATCAAATGCTCTCCTTCCAGAGCAAGGGCTGGAATCCTGTCTGCATCTGCCTGCATCATTACAGGGTGACCCTGCCCATGCATCCAATGGACTTCCATTCCATTCTTACAGACCACAGTGGCTTTCTGCTGTTTGCATAATACTGATAATGTCTGTGGTGGAAGGAGTAATTTCAGTAGAAGAGTCTCTTAGGAAAAGAGATCACAACATCAATGAGGTTGGAAAAGACCTCTGAGATCATGRAGTCCAACCCATGACCAAACACCACCGTGTCAACCAGACCATGGCACTGAGTGCCRCATCCAGTCTTCCCCTTAAACAGCTCCGGGGACGGTGACTCCACCATCTCCCTGGGCAGCCCATTCCAATGTCTTGTTACCCTTTCAGTGAAGAAATGTTTTGAAACAGGAAAGCAGCAAAAGCCTTGCTGGGGTAATCCATGAAACCTTACAGTGAGACCACACGATGGCACCATAATCTTAAGAACTGAAGAAAGGAARTGTGTGCGCAAGTCCACTGTAATTGTTTGATATTAGGTGGTGACCTAGTTATTCAGGTCACTAAATACATAGAAAGTATTTTATAAGCCTATGTATTTTTTAAAAAACCCTATTATTAATAATCTAGGGTCAGTGTGAATTGTCTGAGTTATTGCTTTTCCCATTGGTAAATACAAACAAAACCAAATGTAATGACCGAAATAGCATATTTATTATCAGATTATTAGTGACAAGCTGTTAAGAGCTATGGAGTTATCTTGATGGTCCTGTGTTATTTGATTATGCTGGTTCTGTATCCACTTCTAAAACTGAGTTTATCCTGCCTGCCCTTTCAGTGTTATGAAGAGGAGTTTATCTTCCTTTTCATTCTTCTGGGCTATTCTAAAATATAAAGGGATAGAGGTGGGAAAGATCAAGAAATCTAACATGAAAGTTAACCAACTTTAATGGTTTGTGTAGTACAACATATTATTTCAGTTTTTGTCAGAGTCCTTAACTGAATGTACCAGCGGTGCCACCAAATACTGTGTTTTCAATTGTCCCCTTGAATGTGGATCATGGTTCATTGCAGGAGCTAAAATCTGACTTGTCTCCATGTGCTGAAGTCTGATCCCTTTCCAGTGAAGTGACAGARACCCTTGATAAGCTGATGATCCACTGGGCAACCAATCTCTGTTCTGCCTCTTTCCTCTGGAAGCTGCTTGTCGTTTAGAAAGATCCATGATAGGAGGTTCATGCYGTAGAAGGATGGGGCAATTTTTGACATGCCTCTCAGAAAGTTTTTCAGGGTGCTGACATATGTTTGGTTGTCACACTTTGCTCCTGAAGGGCTGACAAAGATGYATTACTGTGTCTGGCATCAAAGCCCTCCAAAAAAAGTAGGTGTCTTCAAGACCAAGTGAAAGTTCTTGTCAAGAGCAAATAAAACATAAAATTGTTTCCATAAATGTATTCTATAAGTAGAAAAAAAAAAAATAAAAAAGACAGCCTGATTAGAAGTTCCTGCATGTATTCCTCATAATATGCTGAAATTGCCCAATTTCTGCTTATGCTGATCTATTTACCCATTTTAAAAGCACAAAGTCCAGAAARTGATGCACAGACAAAGACTTGCAGCTGAAAATCTTGTAAATGAGAAGGTGTRGTATACTTCTGTTACATTTCCCATRTGGATGTAGTTCCAAAGTGGTGCTTAATATGACAAAATTAAATAACTCAAAACAAGTGGTTTGATAAGTAAAGATTTCTCTATTCCAYTTCCTGCTTTCACAAGTGCTTTCCACTGTAAAATTTCTTTGAGACTGCTTGAAGCATTCACTTCTTTGAAAATATTACTTTAAAGACTGTCTAGAGAAGCTGGGAAACAAAAATTGTCCTGGATAGGAACAGCAAACAAAATATTCACTTTTCATTTCCTGTCTGCCAACTTGTTCAGTACCATTTATCTTAGGGCAGATATAAGAAATATTAGAAGGACAATGTGGCGCAAATTATTCAATAGTGTGATTATGGTACGTTTTTAAGCACTTGAGTACCCAAATATTTATTTAATGTTTTCTGTGTGTTCCCATGCTTTACAGTTTCTGAGCTTTACAGAGAATCAGTCATATTTAAGCATCAGTCTTACTAATTGTGGAAGCTTTTTCTCTCCGTAAAACTCCTGAATGGCAAAAAAACCCCTCTGTCATAGTCCCCCAAATACCAGCTTCTAAAACAAAAGAGACATGCTCTATGCCCTTGATGTTTTAGAACAGGGAATATTTTTATTTATCCAGATGTTTTGTTAAATTAATATTTATAAAATACACTTCTGTCTAAAAACATCTGTGTCAACCCTGTTCAGAAATMATTTTCACACCTCTAATGCTGTTGTGGTTTGGCAGCCATTGCACTTGCATTCATTTTCTATTTTAAAATTTTTCTCTTATGTGGGCTAGTAAAATAGCAAGCAAAATCACTGCACTAAAAAGCTACAACAGTGTTGACTCATTGTTCATGTTTGATCTAACCTGGTTAAAGTCCATGTGCAATAATTTGTTTCTAAAATACTGTTACTGCACTGATTTTCTGATCAATGATAGGATATTAGTTTTTTATTGATAGTTCAGTTATATTGGCTTTTTTATGTGAGTAGCATATAAGGAGAGCCTTCAGAAACATCAGGCTCTAAAGTCACTCAGGTATTAGTCCCTAGTAGTTAGAATTATCATGAGAAAGATCTAAAAGGTTAGCACTTAACCATATACACAGGAAAATATACCATGAAATATCAGAGTCTATTCTAAGCGTATAAAAYTTTCCATACCATGCTGTATCACAAACCTTAGTAAATTAGCATTATTTACAGAGATACRCCACCAGCCTAGTAAAAAATAAGACTGAGACTGAGTTTAAATGAGTGAGGTATCTTGTGTAATATACAGGCAAGAGATGTTCTGAAGAACAAGTGTAAATTTATAACATCTAGTTCACTTCAAAAAATCTATTTATGAGACTGCTAGTTCAGACCCCCAATCAGGCAACTTGCTACATCCTTTTCATTTATTTACAAATACCCAAATTTATGAGCAAATGCAATCTTTGGTAAATATGTGTTCTGTATATTTTTTGGGGTTTTCTGCAGCTGCCTCAGAGAAAATATGCAGGAGAGATTCAGCAGGCTTTCATCACAGATCTGATCTCACAAGAGCCACTTCCACTTTTTCACTAGACATAAYTTACAATGCAGCAGAAACTTCTTGTTCTCCTGTAGATTGTGTGTAGGTGGAGCTAGCTCGTTCAGGTGTGTCCACATAGAGAACAGGACAGTATTTAGACAAGCGGACTGCAATCTGCTTTCGGAAAAAGCTGCGAAGGTATTTCCTAAATTTTTCTCCAGCAAAGGCATAAATCACAGGATTGATACAACAATGCATCATTGAGATTGTTTCTGTCACTTGGAGTGCTTTGTGCAGTTGACCATTGCTTTCACAAGTAGAGATGAAAAATGCACCTTGAAAATCACGCAAGAGAATGCAAATGTTGTATGGTGCCCAGAAAAGAAAGTAGATAATCATGATAATAAAGATAAGCCTGACTGCTTTATGTTTCTTCTCATTTTTGCATTGCAGTAATGTCTTTATAATTTGTGTGTAGCTGCAGATCATAATTAACATTGGAATAAGAAGTCCCAGAATGTTCATTTTTAAGGTGAGGAATTGYTTCCATGTATCTATCTGCTCTGATGGATAATGAGCACTGCAAGTGTAGCCTGAACCTTCTTTCTGAGTTTTGTGAAATACCACCCCAGGAACAGAAGCAAAAACAGCAATAGCCCAAGTGACAACACTGGCGAGAATGCCATAGGTAACTGTCCTGGCTTTCAAAGCAAACACCGCATGCACGATGGCCAGGTACCTGTCCAGRGTCAACAGGATTATGAAAAAGATGCCACTGTAGAAGCCAAGGAGGTAAACACCTGAGAGAATTCGACACAGTGCTTCCCCAAAAATCCAGTCGTGAACTGCRTAATAAGCCCAAAAAGGGAGAGAAAATACAAACAGCAAATCRGAAATTGCCAAGTTGAGCAGGTAGATGTCAGTCATGCTCTTCAGCCTCTTGTACTTTACCAGGATAAGGACAACAAGCATGTTGCCTGTCAGRCCAAATATCACCACTAAAGAATAAAGAGGTGGCAAGAATTTTGCTGCAAAATTCTTTCCCTCAGTTACAGGGCAAGGTGTCGAATCACTGTAGTCAAATTCTGTTGTCAGTGGCCAGTCAGTGAAGTCTGTGGTTTCATTTCCCATGGCGGATTGGTCTGAAAAAGAAAAAAGAAAAATTAAAGTAGAWCAATCTCCAAACTTTGCAGTGAAGAGAATGAAACGTGCTGATGTTCTCATCTACAATGCATTTTGCTGATGAGCACACAAGCCCTACAATGTCAGGGCATGGAAGAGAAAGAAATTGCAGAGCTCCAAGGAAATATAACCTTGCAGCTGTGGAGCCACATTGGTGCATATGGTGGTGTTCAGTGTGTCATTTCCCACGGGTACATTTTCTCATTTGTTTTTCCTCCTCAGTAGAGTCTGTCAGCTGCCTGGCCTAATCAGAAACAGGGGAGTGGTGAATTTAATCCAAGCCATAAACTATCCTTGGTTGAGGGACTATTGGAGGGAATAGCCTTCCCTTACCAGAAGGAATCAGGGCCTGGGAGGTGAGTATTCAGCAGACCTGTGAAGCTCTGCTACAGCATGCACAGAGAAAGGCTTGTGGCTGTAATATCAGCCCATCTGGCTATCAAAGCCTCCCCTTTTCCCAAGCCCATGGTGTGACTATGAGTCAAATGCAGAAGCGTAGCTCTGTGTAAATTGGTCTCTGAAAAGCTCAGGAGGACTGTCTTCTCACACATCCCCAGAGAATGTGCAAGAATTCCTGTGTGTTCCATGAGAAGCTGAGCACGGGATTTTGTGGAGATGGGTGTCAGAGTGACCAAAAGTGCTCACTAGTCATTGGAGAAGTGCAATTGGTGCCTTTGGCAGCCACCCAAAGAGAGCTGCTCGCTGTCTGGGTAAAGAACTGCTCTTTCTTCCTGTGTCATCACGACTGCTTTTATCGGACACTTCATGGCAGACTGGGGGCTGCCCATGGCAGGGTGTTGGTTTTGAAATCAGCCCCTTCCTGGAAATGTCCTGCCTGTTCTTAGACAAAGGCAGCAGAGAGCTCTCATCACAGAAGAGCTCAGGCAGTGCACCTGCCCCAGCCTGCTCTGTGATCCCTGAGTGCTCGTGTGGTGCAGCAGCGTTCACTCCTTTCCTGAATGCTCTTTTCTCAATGGTGTGGTCTGCCCTGTGGGATTGCAGGTGTCTTTGCAGAGACCACACTCTCAAAGCCACCATTGCATTCTCTCTGCATTGGAGCTTAACAAGTCTAAATGTAACTGAAGAAACTCAGCCTGTGACTGGAGTGACTCAGAGACAGGCACCTGGACTGCTTTTTGGTACAAGGTCATAGTAGTGCATTATGACTTAGAGCATAGGAAATCCCCAAAGCAACTCTTTGTGCCTGYAGACAAATCCATTGAGGAGAATCTGTTTTCTGCTGTAAAACAGATCACTTGAAATGCCAGTGGCTTTACCTTGTGTCAAAGTGGTTAACTTAGCTAAACCTAAGATGATGTCTTGGGGAAGGGGCTATTTACTAGGTCTCTGAACTTCAAAATTAGATTCTGCTGCCAGCTCCTGATGAAGGTTGCTATGCTAAAGATATGCCTCTGCTCCAAAAGAGGAAGCTTTGTTGGAGCAAAATCTGCACCTTGTACAAAAAGAAATGCTGCTTTTGCAAACCCTTTTCCTGCTCTTTCCCCAAGTTCTTGAGTCTGGCTACCAGCTCTGCTCCTAAGAATAGTAAGAACAATGAGATCCGTGTTCAGTCATTACTTTGGTATATCGGGTATGGTGGTAAGTTTTCTTTTGGAGAATGAGGAATTAGAGAATATCAGCAAATTGTAACAGTTTGGTTCTCAGCTTCTCCCAGATATGATTTTTAGATGAGAAGTAATTGCCATCAAACTCCTCAAAGATTGACTTTTAGGGAACTCTGACAATCAGTTTTTTTCCATAGCCATACTAACTACATAGTTATTACCATGTAGCAGTAATGGTTTTGTTGGTAAAGGAAGTGGCTGTGGCTCTGCCTGTTGTCAGTAAATAACTTGATTTTAAAGTAGCAAAAGGTTTATATTTCTTAAGTAGTTTCAACAATACTTAAAAAAAAATATAAAAAGGCAAGTTAATAAAACACTCTTTGGTCCAAATTGTTAACTTCTTTACTTCAAAACGTGATGAGTCTTTGGCACTAACTAAGTAAAGATTAAGATTTCATTTGACTACACCTGCTAAATCCATGTTACATGCCCTGACAGTACATTCCTGGTACTGCATGTAGCTAAATATCCTCATTTACAATGTGTCAGTCAGCCATACTGGGATTATGGAATGAGTGCCAGACCCAGCACTTCCTGTCTTGCTTATTTTGCACCTGCAGGATGCTCATGCATTTATATGGGTATGAAAAACAACTAAGTCATAAACCATGAGTGGGTTTTTATGAGTAGGCGACTAATAGGGTTCATGCAAATATCATTGCAAAATGCTGCCTTGATATTATTGTGATAATTGTTTTTGCAACAGCTCCTTCTTCCTGTTAACTGCTATCTCAATGCCTTACCTCTTTTTCCTCTGCATTCCTGGAATCTTTCCTGCACTTATTTTCTTCCTTACTACCCTTTGTGCATGCTTAAATTATGGCCTCCCCTTTAAGCAGWTGCTTCTGCTAATTGAGCCCCATTTCTCTAACCCAGCCTTTGCTTCAGAAGTATTTACTACTCTGAATTGTGTGTAGTATCCAGCACATGCTGACAATGAAGACTAAAAATACTAATTTGGAAACCAGAAAAAGGAACTGTAAGTGGGTTTGTGCTTTATCCTATAATCTTTCTGGTTTAGGAGACAGATTAGTTTTGTTAGCTGCTGGCTAGAATATTTCACTGGGTTAATCAGCATAGGTTGTTCACCTAACAAGAAGGATTTGACTGGGCTTATGTTTCCTAATCATTAAAAAAACCTTGGAAGACAGTCAGTGCAGATTTCTGAAGGAAGGATATTTCAAAAACTATTCTATATTATTTTGAGTACAGTTTAAATAAATGCAATATTTCCAAAATCCTGTAATCTGCTGTACAAATTCTGCTGCTCTGCTTAAGACTAGCACTCATGCAGTTTTCAAAGGAAAGACTCACTACAGAAAAGATGAGTAAACTCGTATCACTGTTTCATGCTGAGTTTCAGGTCACAAGTTTCTGTATTTTAAGAAGCAAAGATCTTATTAATGTGAATTTCAGTTCATTTGCACAGTCCCATAAAATGGTAATAATTATAAAGGTGTAGCAAATGGAGGTAAAATGCTAAGTTAYGCTGCATGTAAACAGGATCCAATGAGTCAGTGTCTAAAATACACTACGTTTTCTGTAGTCATCCTGTGAGAAGAATAAGAACTCGTCACYCAAATAACCTGTTTTGAAGTAACAGGTTTAAAGTTCATATTTCCATCATTGCACATTATTTTGAGAGACAAAATCAGGGAGRCATACTCCATTATATTTCTTATTCAGGTCAATCTCTAGAGATTTATTTCTTTGCTTACCTGGATCCTCTGCTCAACTCTTCTAGTGATTTTGTCCTTTAAAACCAGTGGATTCATTTTAACTTATTCTATGCATTTGGCCAGGGTAATTTTTAAAGATGAGTACACTGGCAGGTTTCCACTAGTATTTTTCACTTTAGGCCTAAGCAGCTACTAAATATTAAAAAAGGCAAAMATAAAAAGAAGCAAAGATGACTTACCATGTATCTTGCGGTGCAGGTGATGTCTTGTTTTATTACAACAAGAGTAAGGATAAAATGACTTGTCAGTCACAAGATGAAGGTCAAAAGCACCTCTTCCTGCGTGAAGAAGGATGTATCTGTTTGAAAACTAGCAAAAAAAAAAATCTGTTTTCATGTAGAGAAAATGAAGGAGCAGTTCTCTGGTTCCTTTTTTCTAAAAACGGGCCATCAGATGTTACTTTTCTAATACTTGAGATGTGCAGAGATGTTGAAATCATAGAGGATCCTCCTAGAAGTTGAAGTTTCACAACCCACAGCTGTAGTTTTAGAGAAAGGGTTTATAAAATTATTTTATTTTTTTCTTTTAGCTAACCTGTTTGAATCAAGAACAATTTACAGGAGGTTCATCCCTTTCCATTTTTCTGTCATTAAATTGCTTTCATGTTTTTCTGTCCTTTAGCAAAAAAAACCCTGAGTTTTTAAATAAAGTGTATGCTTCTGTTCAGAATTACCTGCACTTTCTGTTGTCTTGCTCTGTGCTGCAGTCCTTATAACTCAGGAGATTTAAATGATTCTATTTTTCTTTAACCCGGTCTTCTGGACTTGTTTTTCATTTTAATCCCTCTCATAAGACTATGACTTAGTCTGTGTAGTGAGTTCGACCTTTTAAAACAGCGCTTTACTTACGTTTTGGAATTAAGCTTTAGAAAAACCTGATAAAATCTGATTTCTTATCGATTTCCTTCCTTRTAGCTGATCCCTCTGACTTCAAGAGTTAAACTGAAGCTGCCATAAAGATTTCTAGATCTTTCTTGGACATCAAAAAATGACAAGGGAAATAGGAAAAATGCAGAAAACAGGAAAGGGATAACGCCTTACTAGATGCCCAAGAAGCCCATAGAGAGAAACCCTGAGAAGATACCTGATAACGTGCAGCCCCCTGCCTCCCCTTCATGTCTCTTTGTAGAGTTCTGGAGGATCTCTCCTATCAGTGAAAGTACCAAAGGGATGCCTTTTCTGCATTCACTCGTCAACATCCTTAAAAGATTTTAAAACACCAAAAGCTCAACAGGGATTTCTTCCTTTGGATGTTGCCATTCCTTAACAGAAATCAAGGGAATCACCACTTCTGAGTTGCCTCTCMGATCTGGGAGGAGACAGTAAAGGGTGAAAAGCTCACTTTGTTTTCCTTGTCAACTTTTCTTTGCATGAAGGACTGATCTTTATTCCATAGGATAAATGCATTTTCCTCTTCCTTTCCTAATCAATTCTTCCAATGTGCTCTTTAAGGGTCAAAGGGTCAAGGAGTCTTAGGGTGTGCTCTTTAAGGGTCAAAGGGTCAAGGAGTCTCAGGGTCAAAATTAAAGGATCCTGCAGGGTATTCTACGGATATGTTTCTCCCACCGTCATGCTTGATGGACTGACTATATTAGACCCCAGACACAATCAGTGGAAATTGCTGCTTCCTAAAAATGTTTCCACTACACCTAAACCAAGTTTCCAGTTACTGCGTAACCTTGCTGGCTAAAAAGTTCCACTCTTATACTGAATTCTTATAAATCTGAAAAAAAAAAGATTGTATCAAATTACTTTTTCAATGTCTAAGTTCTAAACAGTCTACATACTAAAATTAAGAGCYATTTTAAATATTTCCTCACGAAGCCTGCATTGTTTACTGTTTGTTACATGTAACTGAMCCTCCTGGAGACTCTAAACCCCTTCAAAATTTCACACTGAAGAAGCAAGGGAAGCAGTTTCAACCCTCTTGCTGGACTTGCCTGTTTTCATCAAGCTTTTTTATTCTGAAATATGCTCCCACAAAACTTATCCCAAGCATTTCAACTAACAACAACAACTACTACTACTTAAAACTAGGACCTGAGGAAGGCTGATCTTCAGAAATAGTCCCTTGTTGCCACAGATTCATTGGCTTTATAAATGGGTTTGATTTTGCTTATAGCTTTTTGTTCCCATAGCCCAGTCTGGTCAGCAAGCAYAGTGGGTCACATTATTTACTGCTGAAGATTATTACACACCAACAGAGGGCCTCTGCCACTCACGGTTATAGCAGCTGAATAAGGGGAGTGCACTCGGTCTGCTCACACCTGTGTCTTACAGCTGCATGAGAGACTCCCCAGAGAGAGTGTGAATTGCCGTGGCACTTGGCAGCCCAAATACTGGGCTGTGTGACTTTATTGTCAGCACCTACAGGATATCTACAATCAGCTCTACCCCAGCTGAAGATAAGCAGAGCTGCTGAGAAGCCACATTTGATCAGGTCTTGCATGTGGCTGTAGGCAAGCCCTTGTGCGGTTCATGGGGCACTGGTGTTGTGCTGTGTTCATTATTGCAGTTAAAACAAGATTTTGACTGCAGAAGTGGTCTGCCATGGTCTGAAGTTTCATCACACTAATCTGGGGTTTGCCATCTTAATGCCATCTCCACTCCTCTTCCCTGCTGCCTCCATCACACACATCTCCAATGTGTGTGAACACTGAGGGATGGACAATGCAAGCAGAGCATCCATTTGTATGAGTCAGATTTTGTTCAGCTTTTCTCAATCCTTTGCCCAGCATTTCTTTGAGAAAGTGSATTGCTGCTTGTCATGAACTCCAGTGGATTTAAAGAATCTTTACCTAAGCTGAACCTCATCATTTTACCAAGAAATGAAAGCTGTTGTTCATTAATAGAAGCAATGATTCAGTGAGTTGTTATAGCATTGAATTTTATCTATCATGGTTTACATTCAGAGATGAGTAGGAGTTATGTTCAGTGGTATGACACTCCTTCCCGCCATAAATATATTCCTGGCACGAAAGTGAGCTTCATTCCTCACCTGTGGGGATCAAGCTGATGCACTCAGCAAGTATGCAGCCATGTACATTGTCAACTCAAGCTGCCTTTGTCCATCTCTCCTATCTAGTGACTGATTATATGATTAATCTCTACAGTAATCAGCCCATTTTACTGGAGTGTTTAGTATCTGAGTGGTGTGGCACTCCCACAAGGAGAAATTGCAATTTTTGAGAGGTTTACACCAGTACCGAAATGGCTACTAGGACACACACCAAAACCTCATGTACCTGTGTGATACACAAATGTCATCAAGGWCAATTATGGCTACAGAAACTTGAAAATTCAACTGACAGTTTCAAATTCAAGTTATTGCAAATTTGCACCCCTGGAAAAGAAAGGCTGGGGGGAAGCAAGTGTCCTGGGACAGAATGACAGAGACCTTTCTTAGATATGWACAGTGTGATGGAGCACAACACTCTTATTAATAAAAGTCTATCACTACAGCTAAGATTAATCCTTTTCATCTGGAGAAGAGGTCAATGAAGACAAGTGAACATGAYGTAGATGATCTTGTTACTTGTTTGATTCACAACATCTGTGTCCAAATTAGGTCAGTATTAGCATATATTTTATTTCATCAGTAACAAGTGTCTTCATCTTGAAGAGGCTGAACAGAGACATTCAGCTAAAAATACTTTGTGCTTAGGCTGTTTTTTCTTATCAGCCTTTTCTTTTGGGCTCTCAGGTTCTGGTGACTCATCATTTGAGCCACCATCACAATCACAAGCACAATCACACCCACAATATCTGTGAGGTGTATTCTTTTGAGAGCAAGAAGGGAAAAGCATGATGTACCACACCTAAGATTTCTATCAYGGAGACTAGTGAAAAAAACCCAAAACACTTCACACAYAGGTGTAAAGGAAGATGGGTTACAAAAACAAACTCTGGAAGACAAGCATTTCTAAAGTGGATGAACACTTCTTCACCTTATTGTTTACKGTCAATAACATCATATGTTTGGAGCTTTTTCACCTCTTATTCTTAGGCTTTCTTTTTGTTTCTTGTAAATCTGGCACAAACATAATTATACATTGCAGCACACATTATCTCTATTGTCATGGTATTATTTTTGTTTCGGCTTTCTCCAGGTTGCTTTTACAGAACTGTTTCCTTATGCAGTGAAGGAAAGATCATGGCTTCCTTCTATTTTTTCCAAGTTTCTGATGTATGTTCTCCTGATTTATAGAAAAAGGGTTGTCATAGTACAGTAGATTTTACTTTTGGGCCACAGATGTGCATATCTCAAAATTTCAGCTCTCAGAATCTCATTTTTACATAGGTCTTTAATTCACACACTTTGGTTTTTTAAGGTACATTTATAGTACATAAATTCTAGGTCTAGAGTTTGTGTTTTGGAGCTATCTCATCTGGAGCTTTGGAAATGCTCCTCAGTGTATGTGTAAATCCTGGACCTTTTATCAGGCAGGCTGGGAAAATAACACACCAAATTTCTTCCCAGTGAAAACTAGGTCACACAAAGGGCAAAACAAGTCTGTTCAATGATGAGGGATATGCCTGTAATGAAATAAAGTACCTTGAGATGGTTAAAAAATCACTGAAGTGTAGTACAGGATAAACAAGAACTTAGAAAAATGAGGGAGTAACCGAACCTACAGGAACCAAAATCAATGACCTAAGAAGTAAGAACAAGAGGGCACTATAAATCAAACTACAAAGAAAATGAAACCGTTGATAAAAGCAAAAAAGTTTGCTTAGTCATTAAGAGAGTTAAATACCTGCCTGTCTCCTATGATTGTCCCTTATTCACAAAACCCCCTTCTTCAGAGAGCATGCGGGATAAAGGAAGCGTGCATGGTACCTTTAAATGGAGATAAGAGGATGCCAAGCTAAGGACTTCAGCTTTCAGTTGGTTCATACACAGCAAATATTGAATTTTTATTGTTCAAAGTGTACAAAAATGAGCCCTTGGCACACTGGAGGTGTGCTAGCTTTATGGATCCTCCTCCTAGCACCTGTCTCTGCACAGGTATGGAGAAAACAAATATTTCAGCTGAGTTTATGTGAATCAGCTTCTTGCACACCAGGTGAAAGAACCYATGCTCAGGACAACACCAGGACCTAGGAAYCAGAAAGTAATTTTGGGTGCCAAAGATTAAGCGTAGTCTTAATTGTCCATACCTTTTGTTAGCATAACTGCAAGTTATGTCCTGATGGCTGTTTTACTTCCATCCATTTGGTTTCCATTCCTTTCAAAGTCTGGTATCAGGATAGGTTGTGYTGCTCATGTTGTACGGGTAGCATCCTACCAGCACAAAACTGCAGACAGCTCTGGAGAGCTGAGCTTCACTTGGAGATTTGTGCAGTTTTGCATATTGGCATGCGTTTCTGATAATGCTGCCCTCCTCCATCTCAGTGTTGGGGTCTCACCTTCCCAGGATCAATCATTCCAGGCTTAAAACACTCAAACCGAGATTGCTTTCGGTATCACCACACTTACAAAATATCTTGGCAGTTATACAGACTTAGACAAACTTTTTTTATCCTTCTATTCCATTTTTTGAATGAAGGACAGCTCCTAGTGGGCAAGTGTCACCAGACTTTGAATGTAATGGAAATTCCTACACCCCTTTGCTCTGGCCTGGTTGCTATAAATATTCTAAATGCACCAGAATTTTCCACTTTGCTTTCTTTTTTTTTTTTTTTTTCCTCTGATACCTTACATTTTTTTATTACTATATTAAGGAATAATGCTTCTGAGGCCACAGTGACCACACTAAACATTTCCTAGTGGAAGCCAGTAGGCATCAGCAGTTGAAAACTGAAGCAAAGTTAAATTTCAAAAGGAGCAKTATGTGCTTATGGTGCCATTTAACATTGTCAGCATGATTATATTCTCCCACTTTCTTTGTCATTAACTGCAGCAGGATATTATTGAAATTTGTCAGTTTTTTGTATTTATCCCTTCTGTAATTTTCACTGGAAGGAGATATGTTTATTTTGGAGCTTCATAACTTAAAGTCTCTCCTATCCAAACCTTTCAAGGTTCTGATGAAAGTATTTATTTACCTCTGGTCTTCCCATTCATTCGACTATTATTTTTTCAGTGTCTGTTAGGGCTAATAAAGTCATTTACTTTTGTGAGTATTTTTTCCTATTTATCCATTTCCACTACTCCTCTTCCTCTATATCCCATTTACATCTATCTTGTATAAAATACGCTTACACGCTGTTGGGCTGACAAACAAGAAAGTCATATGACAGGACATCCCTGTGTACTGGTTACCAGAGGTTTCACTATTTCTGTTTGTCCATCAGATACCTACCACAGACAAACCAACGGCAATGCCTGTAAATCTGGGGCGTGCTTGTGGGTGCTGTTCAGCACTCACCAATACCATATATGCACTTTTGCTGCATTTCCTTTTGCCCCTTAGGAAGTTTTCTTGACAGCTGGCAGAGTTATCTTTTGCGGTGTGAGACATTCCTCCCCACCTGTTTCTGAGCACGTGTTAGTAGCATGTCCTAACAGGAAGGTTGGAGATGCATAAACTAAACTGTGTGACTGACTCTGGGACTGTGCAGAGAACACTTGGCCTTTCTTTTCATAAGGGTGCTGAAAGCCCAGGTATCACACTATCTCTCCAGGAGTTCTGTGCCAAAAGTTTKGAACTTACAAAAAATTTTCACTTAGCTGCTCAACATTTGCTGTAAAGCAACAGTTTGTTCGTGGTATTCACAAAGGTCTTGTCTTGGATCTGTTTGATGTTCTGGTGCTCGTATGCTCTCTCATATGCTTTCTTTTGTCTTCTTGATATTTCACCAGAGCAGCTCAGATGCCTTCCAAACACTTCAGTGCTTTTTCCTTGTATTGGTTTCTTCTCTGCTGCAATTCTGACGTATTGGCAATTCCTCCTCATTTTCTTAACACACCTAGAGTTCATCACACATTTGGGGTACACCTGCCTGTGTCTCTAGCTCTCACATACACACTGTATCTTTCTCTCAGTGTTTTCCCTCTGCACACCTTGAGTTATTTGAATATTTGCCCCCCATATGTAAAACTTGTACCACTTCTCAGCTGAGGTGACTTGTGTTCTCTTTCAGGGGACTGTGGATCTTGTTAAACTTTCCCCCAAGAGCAGCTCCATCCCACTGTGGCCARTGGGATTGCCTGAAGCCCTGCTGGCCTGATTTGAGGCTACTTGGCCTGTAGCCATCCATGGTGCAGCCACATCTCACTGATAAAGAATCAAAAACTACCACAAAACTCTCTAGAGTCCTGCGTGTCTCAGTGCAAAGCTGCARTGAAGAACCAAGGGTAATTCTGCCTGGGTATATAACAATAAGATAACCTCTAAGTTTAGTTTATTTGTGTTCCTGCAGCACAAACTAGAAAATCCACGGTGGAGAGATGGGAAGAATGTGGAGGAGGAGGAGGCATGGGTCATGGAGGCTGAAAAAAGGAATGGGCCCAGTGGAGCAGGGAGAACAACATGGTGAAGCAGAAGCATATTTCTGTATTGAACTTTAGTGCTTCAGTTCCTTATACATAAAACTTGGGCAATCAGGCTCATCACTTGKCTGGGGTYGCTCTGCAYARTGCAAGGGGATCTGAAATTAGCTGMAGAAATTCYGTGGAGAATCCYRTTTTTATCCCAATATTAATAGAGTGACATCTTTTATTACCCTCATTTATTCCTTTTCTTTCCCTGTTCATAACACACACAAGCCTGTTTCTCCAAATTTCAGTCATMTAAAGTCTGTGGTCCCAAACTTTTCCCAAAGTTATCGTAGTTCACTCTTCTCAAACTTGCTGGTGGATAGAAGCTGTGCCAGCTGCAGTCGCTTCTGGACTGGGCAGAAAKCTCTCTGCTTGCTTGGTTTGAAGTGTGATATTACAAGTGCCCATGGCTCCACCTTTTTCCCATCTCCACTCTGAGAGTGGACCTGATGTCATTTTGCTTATTGAAGAGAACATGGGCTCCAGGGTATACACAGATTTCCAGACACTGATTTTATTGATTTCACCATATTTACATAAAAACAGAAAGAAATTTRATTCCAACAAGATAAGGATTTAAAATAAAACACCGTAGTAGAAATATCACCATTACAGCAAGATTTGTATCACACTGAACTAATCTATGCTTCAAAATCATAAAGGAGTTTTTTGGTTCAGTGAAACAAAGTAGAAAAGAAAGAAAAAATATTATTTCCAAGCCAGAAAATTTACCTTGAGGATAGTTTTTGSTCTTTTGTTTAGTCTGTGGCTATTAACCTCGCAAGATAGTGGCCAGGTAATAAAAGCTGATAGGATAAGAGGTGACAGCTAATCGAAGCAGCACCAGGGCGTTTTAAGGCAAGAGGGTGAAGAGTATTTGCATCACCTGCATTAAGGCATCTGATACCTAAATTAAGAGTCTGGCATTTCCAGGTTCCTTCTGCAGTTGGCCAGCTAATCTTCCCCTGAGACTATTTAAATTCTATGCCTKATTCTGGCTCAGGCACTTCTTACTCTCTACTGACCACTTAGGGACCTTGAGGGGATTTGCTGCTACTTTAGACATCTGCATTACATGTTGAGTAGTGTGGAATTCATTCTGGTGTCTTTTTACCTTGCTAGAGGTTAGTTGAACCTGCCCCTCCAGATTTCCAGGAGCAAGTCCTTGTATGCATGAGCAGTGCCCTTCTAAGGAAATGGGCAAAAAACAGGACAGCTCACTTACATGAGGGGTGCTCACYTGCACTTCCTTACAATATGAAGTAYGAATTTGTCTGCTATGCTCCTTCTTCCTCTTCTTTGCTAAGCCCATGTCCCTAAAATACCTTTGTTTTATAGGGCAACTCTAAATAGTGGAAGAAATGTATGGCCATAGTACCCCAGTAGGCCAATGGTCTCGAGTCTCCAACCAGCATGCAGCTCTCATCGAGGCACCAGCTGGCTAGAGCCACTCTTCTCCTGGGAAGGMAGGAAGGTATGCCTTGTCTGGACCTGGCTACTTTTGCAGCCCCAAGGCTGCTGTCTCCCTAGCAGTGTATCCCAAAGGACAGACTTTCTATGTGTGTGAAGAGCATGTTTTTCCCATGCAGGAGGCTAATCTGACACAGCAGCACCGTGTGTTGTCATGTGAGCCCTTCTTCTACACATGGTTTACCTGTCCAGATCTTGGGAAGTCTGCTCTCAGTACTGTGCTCACAGTCTCCAAAATCCTTCACAGCATCTGGATATTTTTCTYATACAGAATCTTGCATAGCAAATTCAAAGGAAATTTTCATTCTCACCTTGCAGATCATTGCTGAAATGCCTTTATTGGTTAAGTGTTGTTTTTCTTGGAGAGATATGACTTGTCAGAAACAAACCCATGCTTTTCAACAGTGCATCATTGTCTTGTTGCGCAGYCAGTGAACTCGAAAGATTAAACCCACAAAAGTCACAATGTTGCTGAATAAAAGCACATTTTGGAAAATGTCAGCAACTGAACAGTGATGTGGCAGGCATAAAATTAAAAAGCAAAAATCAAAACACTGTAATTTAGCAATAACTGTTAAAGGATTATGTTCAAAAATGACTTCACTACTAATTAGCAGATAAATCCTTGGGTTAAATCCCAGTAAAATCTGGTGAGACGACCTATTAGTCCTTAGATCTTTTAATGTTATATTTTCCCCTCATCAAATCTCAGTAGACAGAATTTTGCAAAGAAGAATGATCATATTGGCCTTGGCTCTATTTAAATCTTGATRTGACCCAGCTATGCAGTTAATGTTTCCTGGAGAACTCATTGACTTTCTTAGTTTAACAAAGGAAAATGCTGTAATCCCAGAGAGCAGTTCACCACAACAACATGGGGTCATACAATTTTCAGTAGTGGTTGACATAAAGATCTTAAATAATGACAGGCTCTCCTTAAGGCAAAGGAAGTAATGCAAGATTTACTAAYCAATGTTCTGATGTATTTTTACAGTCCAGTAGAGATGTCATGTTCTGCAGAAGATTGTGTGAATGTAGAACTGACTCTTTCCAATTTTTCACGATAAAGACTTGGACATTTTTTACAAAGGTGAGGTGCAACATGCTTTCGGAAAAAGGTATAAAGATATCCCCTAAATTTTTCTCCAACAAATGCATAGATCACAGGATTGATGCAACAGTGGATCATTGAGATTACTTCTGTCACTTGGAGTGCYTTCGCCAGTTGACCTTTGATTTCACAACCTGGGGTGAAAAGTGAATTTTGAAATGTATGCAAAAAAGAAGTAATATGGAATGGCGTCCAGAAGATGAAGTAAAAAATCATGATCACAAAAATAAGTCTGACTGCCTTCTGCTTTTTCTCATTCTTAGATCKGAATAATGTTTTTAGAATTTGTGAGTAACTGAAAATCATAATTAACATTGGAATAAGAAGTCCCAGAATGTTCATCTTTAAAATAAAGGAGTACTTCCAATTTATTGTGGAATCACTTGGGTAATGAAAACTGCAAGTATAACCTGAATTTTCCTTCTGAGTTTTGTGAAATAYYACCCCAGGARCAGAAACAAGARCAGCAACMACCCAAGTGACAACACTGGYRAGAATGCCATAGGTAACTGTCCTGGCTTTCAAAGCAAACACYGCATGCACRATGGCCAGGTACCTGTCCAGGGTCAACAGGATTATGAAAAAGATGCCACTGTAGAAGCCAAGGAGGTAGACACCTGAGAGAATTCGACACARTGCTTCCCCAAAAATCCAGCCGTGAACTGTGTAATAAGCCCAAAAAGGGAGAGAAAAYACAAACAGCAAATCRGAAATTGCCAAGTTGAGCAGGTAGATGTCAGTCATGCTCTTCAGCCTCTTGTACTTTACCAGGATAAGGACAACAAGCATGTTGCCTGTCAGGCCAAATATCACCACTAAAGAATAAAGAGGTGGCAAGAATTTTGCTGCAAAGTGCCTTTCCTCAGTACCCATGCATGGTGTTGMATCGCCATAGTCAAATTCTGTTGTCAGTGGCCAGTCAGTGAAGTCTGTGGTTTCATTTCCCATGGTGGGTTGGTCTGAAAAGGAAAAAAGAAAAATTAAAGTAGAACAATCTCCAAACTTTGCAGTGAAGAKAATGAAACATGCTGATGTTCTCATCTGCAATGCATTTTGCTGATGAGCACACAAGCCCTACAATGTCATGGCATGGAAGAGAAAGAAATTGCAGAGCTCCAAGGAAACATAACCATGCAGCTGTGGAGCCACATTGGTGCATATGGWRGTGTTCAGTGTGTCATTTCCCACGGGTACATTGCCTTGTGTGTTTCCTCTCCTCAGCAGAGCCTGTCAATYGCCTGACCCCACCAGGTGGAGAAGAAAGATGAATTTAACCTAAGTTGTGGGTAGTTTGGGGCTGCTGTGCTCATCAGCGACTTTCCAGAGGAGTGTAGAAAGCCAGGACATCAGCCACAGGAAAGCACAGTGTCTGACATGCCAAGCACGGTCTTGCTTCTCCTTGGGGCCTGGCTACCTGCTTATCACATCAGCCCATCGTGCAGCCCTTACCCACGGAGGATCAGACACTGCTCAGGTGTAAGCGGAGCCTGCAAAGTCATGGGTGAAAAACAGCTGACTTCAAGCACATCTTAAAAAGTTTGTGACTCCCTGGGAGCCCTAATGTCTGTGGCATTCTGGACGGTGCAAAATATACCCACCCAGTGGACCTGCTGTTGTGTGTGCTGCAGAGTGGAAAGTCGGCAGTGTTGTTCTGGGTTAAAATGACGAACACTCTGTCCTTTGCAGAGCCTCGGGCAGGCACAGCCAATGGAGTTGTGCTGGTTTCAGATAGTCCTGGAATGAAATCAGCACACAGTCCTGTAGAGAGAACAGAGAGACAAAGACCTTGGCAAATGGTGGAAAAGATGAGAGCTGCTGTCCAGGTGGCCTCTGACATCTGTGTCTATTGTGGCATCTTCCTGTCACCTGAAAGACCTTCCCACTCCTGCTTGGGGATGAAAGGAGTTTTGATTCCTTATTTCAGTGGTCGTTTGCAGCCATTATTCAGGACCTGCAAAGTTTAGATTGGCAGTGTCTTGCAGGGAGCACAAAGGGGAAAAAGGCAGATATGGCCTTGCTATGAGTGTGCTCTAGAGTTCTTCATGTGATGTTCTTYATCCTGTGTCAGTCAGTGTCTCCAGTAAGGCGACAATGAGGAAGTGTGAGGGTTGTGCAAGCTCTCTGTCCCTTCAGTTTTGTTTGAGGGACTGCTGGAGGGACTGGGCTTCCCCTGCAAGAAAGAGCCTGGGTGTCAGCCCCCCCAGCTGCCAAAGCCTCCCCTTTTCCCAAGCCCATGGTATGACTATGAGTCAAATGAAGAAGCGCAGCTCTGTGTAACTTAGTCTCTGAAAAGCTCAGGAGGACTGTCTTCTCACACATCCCCAGAGAATGTGCAAGAATTCCTGTGTGTTCCATGAGAAGCTGAACAGGGGATTTTGTGGAGATGGGTGTCAGAGTGACCAAACGTGCTCACTAGTCATTGGAGAAGTGCAATTGGTGCCTTTGGCAGCCACCCAAAGAGAGCTGCTCTCTGTCTGGGTAAAGARCTGCTCTTTCTKCCTGTGTCATCACRACTGCTTTTATCGGACACTTCATGGYAGACTGSGGGCTGCCCATGGCAGGGTGTTGGTTTTGAAATCAACCCCTTCCTGGAAATGTCCTGCCTGTTCTTAGACAAAGGCAGCAGAGAGCTCTCATCACAGAAGAGCTCAGGCAGTGTATCTGCCCCAGCCTGCTCTGTGATCCCTGAGTGCTCGTGTGGTGCAGCAGCGTTCACTCCTTTCCTGAATGCTCTTTTCTCAATGGTGTGGTCTGCCCTGTGGGATTGCAGGTGTCTTTGCAGAGACCACACTCTCAAAGCCACCATTGCATTTTCTCTGCACTGGAGCTCAGCAAAGCTAAGTGTAACTGAAGAAACTCAGCCTGTGACTAGAGTGACTCAGGGACAGGCCTCTGCTCTGTTTTTTAGTAAACAGTAAATTTAATTACATGGTGGGCTATTCTGAACTGCAACAAGTGAAATAATTGAAGTGTCTTAAGATTATGTCAGTTTATTCAGCTGTTTGAGCAAAGGCTGATTTATTGATATGTAATTACAGACCACTCAGGATCCAGAGGACATGGTTTTGATATGGATTTTTGTCTTAGTGGATATATGTATCAAACAAATAATCTTCTTGAACAAATTGTGTTAGTTACACAGTATTAAAAGTATTTTCCATGTGCGTATATGCACAAGTAAATATAAATATATACATACACACTTATGTATAAAATCATAGTTTTGCAGAACCATAGAATCATTTAGATTGGAAAAGACCTCTAGAGTCTTGAGATCATTGAGTCCAACCCTTAACACTGTTGAGTTCACCACTAAACCATGTTGCYAAGCATTGCATCTACACAGCTTTTAAGTACCTCCAGGGATGGTAACTCAACCACTTCCCTGGGCATCCTGYTCCAGAGCTTGCTATCCCTTTCTATGTAGACATTTTTCCTAATATTTGAACTAAACCTGCCTTGATGCATTTAGACTTGTTGAATCTTTGTATTTGTATAAAAAGAAAGTAACTTATTTTTTTTTTCTTCCAAGTTTGGAACTCATTTATATTGCAAAATCAGCAGAAAAGTATTGTGGGAGCAATAGAACTAAAGTTAACTGACTCCCTACAGATTTCTCTCCTTTCCTGTCTAWGTCCTGTGAGGGGCTGACCCTAGCGCAGCTAAGCCCCCATCTAGCCACCAACTCACTTCCCCACAGCAGGATCAGGGAGAGAACCAGAAGTGCTGAAGCAAGAAAAACTTGCAGGTTGAGAAAAAGAAAAGATGAATTAGAGAATGAAACTGAAAAAAA